GGGCATGCGCAGTACCCTGCATTTGCTCCCAGCTCTTCACAAATGGCAGTTGAGTTTTTGGTCTTTTTGCATCTTGTCGTCCATCATTTGCCCCAACTGTGCATGCATGCAGTGAATTTTAGTCCCTGATACTTTCTTTGCATTTTGCTACTCAAGGAGACATTTGTCCAGGTGCAAGCACTTCAGCAAAAGGTGTCAGGTCCCAACCTGTCTCAGAATTAAACTTCCATTTCTAAAGGGGAGAGCGGTTTCCTCTGCCAATCACCGCTGTCCAACTGGACAGAGCTTACCATTGTTCAAAACAAGCTGGAGATTCAGATTGTTTAAACGCACAATCTCTTACTTTCTGAATCCTGGCAGCTACTTAAGGAAACATATTATAGAAGAGTGAAACCAAACACATAAAGCCAGCAACAGCTCGTGGGTCTTCACTGCGTGATGGAAAAAAGGAAGATCAGGGGCTGCGGGCGTGAGAAGAGCCTACAGCTGTGAAATGTTCAGACCCCATCCTCCACCGTATTCCCTGTTCCCCCAGGAACCACCGACATGTGGTCCTTAAGTGTTCACATCCATGGATGGTGAGGAAGGGCAGAGAGTGTGTCCCGCCCAGAAGCAGGTGGCGGTGAGGCAGCTTCCAGCGATGGTGTGGGTGGCAGGGGCAGTGAGACAGAAAGCAGGTACCGGCTGGCGCCTGCCCCCGCAGAAGAGAGAGCTCAGAGAGATGCTGGATGGGGTGGGGGTAGCCCCTGGAGATGCCTGGGTTGCAGAGACTCCTGGGTCCCTCCAGAGTTTCGGGAAAATAGCACCACCACCCCACAGGGAAGGAAACAGCTTACCTTGCCGGGGTGGACAGACGGGAGCTCGCTTGGCAGAGCTCAGGGCAGGGGGTAAAGAGGTGGCTTCTCTGGCATGTGGCAGGGGTAGAATGGGTCAAGAGGGGGAGGTGGGGGACACTGATATGGGCTTCTCTGAATTCAGAGCCAGGGGAGCAGGCTGTTACAGGGCTCCAGAGGGTTTGTTTTTATTTCCTGGCTGTTACTGATACCTTGGTTAACATCTCTCTCTTTCTCTATTTTTACTATGTGAGTATGAGGGTGGTGCTAGTGGTAAAGAAACTTCCTCCCAGTGCAGGAGACGTAAGAGATGTGGATTGGATCCCTGGGTCAGGGAGATCCCCTGGAAGAGGGCATGGCAACCCACTCCAGCTTCCTTGCCTGGGGAATCCCACGGACAGAGGAGCCTGGGGGGCTACAGTCCATTAGGGTCGCACAGAGGTGGACACGACTGAAGTGACTTAGCACACAGCACACTGTTTCTGCTCTTCTCTGTATTCCCCACCTGGTAAGCGCTTAATGAGTGTTTGGTGAATGAATAAACGTGCACACATGTACGCCATGTACGTATTTGTATGTCAACATGTAGTGATGGTCATGGAGGCGGTCTGCACACACTTCTCAGTGGTCTGGGGTTTACCTCCGCTCCCAGGAGTTCAACTCTCAGGAGGGTACAAGAACCCCCAGGCAGACTTAGCTATTTATTTTCTTAACTGTGATCTTTGATGAGTAGAAGTGTTGAAGTGAAGTGAAAGTTGCTGAGTCGTGCCTGACTCTGAGACCCCCTGGACCACACAGTCCATGGGATTCTCCAGGCCAGAACACTGGAGTGGGCAGCCTTTCCGTTCTCCAGGGGATCTTCCCAACCCAGGGGTCGAACCCAGGTCTCCCGCATTGCAGGTGGAGTCTTTATCAGGTGACCCACAAGGGGAGCCCAGCAGAAGTGTTAAACTCTGATAAAGTCAATTTTACAACATTTTCTTTTGTGATTATTGCTTTCAGTGTCCTAAGGAATCTCTGTCTCTTCCCTAGTCATGAGAATATTCTCAACTTTTCTTTAAAAACTCCATGGTTTTAGCTTTTATATTCAGGTTTCTTATCCACTTTGAATTAACTTCTTGGTATAGAGTGAGATAGGAACTGAGGTTTATTTCTTTCCCCACATGAATATCCAGTTATCCACAAACAGTTCATTGAGGAGACTTCTCTTTCCCTTACTGAATTGCTTTGGCATCTTTGTTGAAAATCAAATGACTTTATAAGTATGGTTTTATTTCTGGACCTTTATACTTTTTCACTGATCTGTTTGTTAATTGTTGTGCCAGTACTAATCCGTCTTGATTACTGTAACTTTAAGATAAGTCTTGAAGTCAGGTTGTGTAAGATTGTTTTATTTTTTTAAAGATACTGTTGGCTATTTTAGACCTCTACATTTCCATATAGAACTATGAGTTATCTTGCTGATTTCTATAAAACAATGCTTGCTGGATTTATGATTAGAATTGAATTAAAAATATGGGTGAATCTAGGGAGAATTGATATATCAAAATACTAGGTTTTCTAGTCTATAAATGTAGTGCATCTCTCAATTTATATGTCTTTAATTTCTCTCAGCAATGTTATGTAGTTCTCAATAAAGAGGTTTTGCCTATCTCTTGTTAAATTTATTCCTGAATATTTCATTTCTCAATGTGGTTGTAAATGGAATTTATTTACTTATGGATGTGGACCATTTTTAAAGTCTTTATTGAGTTTGTTACAATATTTCTTCTGTTTTATGTTTTGTTTTGTTTTGTTTTTGCTATGAGGCATGCGGGATCTTAGCTCACAGACCAGGGATTGAACCCACACCCCATACTTTGGGAGGTGAAGTCTCAACCACTGAACCACCGGGGAAGTCCCTGTAAGTGTAACTGAAAATGTAAAAATTTTCCTACTGATTGATCCCAGTATCAGTTCAGTTCAGTTCAGTCGCTCAGTCATGTCCAACTCTTTGCGACCCCATGAATCGCAGCACACTAGGACTCCCTGTCCATCACCAACTCCCGGAGTTTACTCAAACTCATGCCCATCAAGTCAGTGATGCCATCCAGCCATCTCATCCTCTGTCGTCCCCTTCTCCTCCTGCCCTCAATCCCTCCCAGGATCAGGGTCTTTTCCAATGAGTCAACTCTTCGCATGAGGTGGCCAAAGTATTGGAGTTTCAGCCTCAGCAGCAGTCCTTCCAACGAACACCCAGGACTGATCTGCTTTCGAATGGACTGGTTGGATCTCCTTGCAGTCCAAGGGACTGTCAAGAGTCTTCTCCAACACCACAGTTCAAAAGCATCAATTTTTCGGTGCTCAGCTTTCTTTATAGTCCAACTCTCACATCCATATATGACCACTGGAAAAACCATAGCCTTGACCAGATGGACCTTTGTTGGCAAAGTAATGTCTCTGCTTTTTAATATGCTATCTAGGTTGGTCATAACTTTTCTTCCAAGGAGTAAGCACCTTTTAATTTCATGGCTGTAGTCACCATCTGCAGTGATTTTGGAGCCCCCCCAAAATAAAGTCTGACACTGCTTCCACTGTTTCCCCATTTATTTCCCATGAAGTGATGGGACCAGATGCCATGATCTTAGTTTTCTGAATGTTGAGCTTTAAGCCAACTTTTTCACTCTCCTCTTTCACTTTCATCAAGAGGCTCTTTAGTTCCTCCTCACTTTCTGCCGTAAGGGTGGTGTCATCTGCATATCTGAGGTTATTGATATTTCTCCCGTCAATCTTGATTCCAGCTTGTGCTTCTTCCAGCCCAGCGTTTCTCATGATGTACTCTGCATATAAGTTAATTAAGCAGGGTGACAATATACAGCCTTGGTGCACTCCTTTTCCTATTTGGAACCAGTCTGTTGTTCCATGTCCAGTTCTAACTGTTGCTTCCTGACCTGCATACAGGTTTCTCAAGAGGCAGGTCAGGTGGTCTGGTATGCCCATCTCTCAGAATTTTCCACAGTTTATCGCGATCCACACAGTTGAAGGCTTTGGCGTAGTCAGTAAGGCGCAAATAGATGTTTTTCAGGAACTCTCTCGCTTTTTCAATGATCCAGTGGATGTTGGCAATTTGATCTCTGGATCCCAGTATATTAAAGTACAATTGTCAGTCAAAAGTATATCCAGAGTATATAAGTCTGGGTCCAATCAAGAAAACGTGACCACACAATAATTTGAATATGGAGAGTTTAAAGAATTATTAAGAAGAGAATAGAATGATGAGGGATTGGCTAGTAAGAAGTGAACAGAATTCTATAGAAGAGAGAAAGAAGAGTTACAAGACGCAGTCACTGATCCTTGGTCTGATACAGAGCACCTACAGAAAAGATTCCCCTGCTCAGACAGAGGCAGAACCAACGCAACAGCCACGGCTATGGCTCCCTGGAGAGCAGAGAAGGTGCTGAGGGGCAGGGCTGGAAAAACCTGCTGGAAATCCACCGTCTTGGGAGCCAGGAAAGCAAATCAACTGGCCACTGACTAGAAACCACCAAGGGTGCTGGAGGTATTTTGCTACAAAGTGTTGGAAGAGGGGGTGGGAGTGGAATTGCAGAGGAAGCTGCTGGCAGAGGCAGGCACTAGAGAAGGTGTGAGCTTATTTGGAGCCTGGCTCTGTAGAATCCGCACTTGGAGCAAGAACCCATGGAGCAAGCATGTGTGTGCCTGCTAAGTCACTTCAGTCGTGTCCCCCTCTTTGAGACCCTGTGGACGGTAGCCCTCCAGGCTCCTCTGTCCATGGGATTCTCCAAGCAAGAATACCAGGGAGAGTAGTCATTCCCTTCTCCAGGGGATCTTCCCGACCCAGGAATCGAAACTGGGTCTCCTGCATTTCTGGGCCACCAGGGAAGCCCTAAACCTAACATTAGCTTTAGGTTTTTCATGTGCATCCTTGTGTTAAGTTTGAGGAAGTTCTCTTACATTCCCACCCAGTTTTCTAATGATCAAGTTGTTTCCCCCTGCTCACTGGTGCTCAAAGCTGAGCTTTGGGCTTCTTGCTTTGTGTGAAGGACTCTTGTTTGATTTGCCATTTGGTACAGACCCTGATTCCTGCCTCCATGTGAGGCCTATTATATTTGAACTTCTAGGGAGTCAGAGATGGGCAGGTTTTCCTAGGAAAACCTTGAACTTAAGCACTTTTTGAAGACTCTTTGGATTTTTGCTCTTTGGGGGCATTTTTTGGCCTCTAATGAATTTCCTTATCCTCTTGACAGTTCAGTCATTATTTTTTAAAATATTTTATTTTTTCCGGTATTTTTATGTGTTTTTGTATTAGGAGGCATTTATAGTTCATCTGGTCTGCCATATTGCTGAAAACAGAAGCCACTGTAGGGTTTTTAGCATTGAAAGGGCTTTTAAGTTTAATCTCATCCACTGCTTTTTAAAAAAAATATATATATATATAGATTAATAAATCGAGCTCCTCAGAGTTGTATTTGAACTCATTTGCTTTGCCCGCTGTTTCACATCATACAAGTGAAGCAACAGTTTCCCAAACTCGGGGCTTCTGACTCTAAGCCCAGTGTGCGTTCTCCTATACCAAGGGTCAACAAGTTATGGTCAGAGGCCACTTTCCTTTGCCATTTGTCATTGTATGGACTGTGAGCTAAAAATGGTTTGACGTTTTTTAATGGTTGGAAAAAATAAAAATAAGAATATTTCATGGCCTGTCAAAAATATATGGAATTTAACTTTCCACATCCATAAATAAAATCTTATTGGAACACAGCACACTCGTTCACTTATGTGTTACTTATGTGCTACCAGGAAGGAGTTGAGTAATTGGGGCAGAGATCACATGGCCCCAAAATCCTAAAATATTTACTACCGGACCAGGTACAGAGAAATTGTGGACTCTTTGCTATATTAGGTCATCTTTGCTCAGTGAAGCTAAAACATCAAATTCTTCATTGAGCCTCTAGGGGGAGACTTTGAGTAGGGTCTTCAGTTAAGGTTTGTGTCCAGCCAGGCACTGATGATTTTGCATGTGGTTGCATGCATAGAGTTCACACGTATTCCAAAACTTCTACCTAAATTCAAAGACCTGTAGCTTAATACAAAATATGCATGGGAAACATGAAGGAACTATGTCTGAGACTCTGGAAAAGCAACTCAAAATCCCACATAATACACTAAAAAAATTGAAATCACACTGTATCTATCCTTGGTCAATAAATGAAGAGGCGGGGGTGAGTCTGGATTGTCATTGAGGGACATGTTGTTGAGGGATGATGAGGGATGATGACACTGAGGGAATGTCATGATCAGGTTTTGAAGGTTTAGAATTTAAAGGCCCATAAGAATCCTTCCATATCTAGACTCAAGTTGACCTGGGTTCTAATCCTGGTTCTACCACTTTAACACCTTGTAGTATTAGACATTCACACAACTCTAATGAACCTAATTTTTCACAGCAATAGTGCTCTACACATTTAAATATATAGGCCATCTGAAACAGAAGATGACTTTCTCATTTTACAAATAAAAAGATTCCTAAATACTTGAATATGTTATTCGAAGTAAATGAAATAGTCACATGTCTACCTGCAATCATTTATTAATTTAGTTTTATACATTTTGAATTTCACATGTTTGATAACACATTAATTCCAAGTAGGACTTTTTAAAATTCTCATGTTTTAAGAAATATTTTTAAAAAGATTTTTACAAGTATCTTTTTATTAATTATTTTTTTAAAAAATATTTATTTATTTTAATTGGAGGATAAGTTCTTTACAATGTTGTGGTGGTTTTTGCCATACATCGACACAAATCAGCCACAGGTGTACATGTGTCCCCTCAACCTGAACCCCCCTCCTGCATCCCTCCCCACCCCATCCCTCTGGTTGTCCCAGAGCACAGGCTTTGAATGCCCTGCTTCATGCATCAAATTTGCACTGATCATCTGCTTTACATATGGTAATATACATGTTTCAATGCTATTCTCTCAGATCATCCCACAGTCGCCTTCTCCCACAGAGTCCAAAAGTCTGTTCTTTATCTCTGTGTCTCTTTTGCTGCCTTCCATGTAGGATTGTCATTACTGTCTTTCTAAATTCCATATATATGCATTAATATACTGTATTGGTGTTTCTCTTTCTGACTTACTTCACTCTGTATAATAGGCTCCAGTTTCATCCACCTCATCAGAAGTGACTCAAATGCATTCTTTAGAATTTTACAAGTATCTTTAATTTAATGGCACTGTCATTAGTGATTTTCTGAGTTTTTTTAAGCACGGTATTTAGGAGCACATCATCCTATTTTCATCATGCTGTTTGAGATACAGTACATTTTGAATCTGGATATGATGCTGTTCTTGGAAATTTTATTCAGGCTATAATTTCCCATTCACATAGTAGTATGCAGAACACGTACATGTGTGTTCTCCACCGCTTACTTGTTATATTGTTTTGTATTAAAACATTTTAAAATTTGATATAATTATAGAGTCATTTGAAGTTTTAAGAAGTGACTTTAGCCACTTTCCTCCAATGGTAACACTTTGCAAAACTATGCAATATTATGCTCTGAAAACTGACACCAATATGATCTGTTGATCTTCTGATCTCTCCAGTTTGCGCGTACTGTTTTGTGTGTGTTTAGATTTGTACGATTTTATTACAAATATAAATTTGTGTGTCCACCATTACAGTCAAGCTATCGAACAGCTGGATCACACAGGGGTCCCTCCTGTGACCCTTTTATAATCACATCTACCTCCCACCATCCCATTATCTGTCCCTGACCTCTGGCATTCATCTGTTCTCTGCTTGCATACTTAGGTCATTTCAAGAAAGTTATATAAATAGAATCATACAGTATGTAATTTTGGGGGACTGGCTTTTTTCCCACTTCTATAATTCCTTTGGGATTCATCCAAATTACTGTCTGTATCAATAGTTCATTCCTTTTTACCGTTGGGTTGTATTCTGTAGCATGGGTGGCATGCGTGCGTGCTCACTTGGTCAGTGATGTCTGACTCTTTGTGACTCTATGGACTGTAGCCCGCCAGGCTCCTGTGCGTTCATGGGATTTTCCCGGCATGAATATTGGCGTAGGTGGCCATTTCCTCCTCCAGGGGATCTTCCCTAAGTCTTCTGCACTGAAGGCAGATTCTTTACCACCGAGCCAGTAGGGAAGCCTGCAGTGGGAGTTAATCACGGTTATTTAGCCATTACCCACTGAAGGACGTTGGGCTGTTTCTGAATTTTAGCTTTTATCAATAAATCTGCTATGATCATGCATGAACAGTTTCTTGCCTAAAAAAGTTTGTTTCTCTTGTTTTCAAAATGATATTTAGAAGCTCATCAAATCCCAACATTTTCAATTGTGAGTTCATGTCCCCAGGATTTGATTTATTCATTCCACAAATATGTTTTATTTTCCATGTGCCAGGCACTGTTCTAGGTGCAGAATATGCAGGTGAGCACATTTCCTGTCTTCTTGGCGCTTACACTCTAGTGCAGAGTGACAGAACAAACACATACACACATAAATAATCATTATGTGTTCTAATTATAATTAATTAAAGGGTGCTACTTTTTTTTTCCTTCTCTTTGAACAGATCCTATCGGTTGACCTCTGGACATCCAAGTCTAGCATTAAAGGGTCTCTTCTGCTCATGTGTCCTCCCTAAGCAGTACTTTATTATTTACAAATGAATTCACTGAGAGACACCAGATAATGTTTGGGAATTTGTAAGGAGCTGAATGTAAGGCAACCTCCTACTTTCTGAGGGATGTTTGGAGACAAAATGTTGCTTCCTATTGAGGCTCATTCCTGCTTGCTTTGCAACAGTACAATGACAGAAAGTCAGAGAGCTAACAGCGCTCTGGGGGATGATAGTATGTGTATACTGCTGGCATCTTGATGTAAAAGCAAATTGCTTTTGAGCTGTTTTACAGCCAGGGTTTAAAAGGTTGCATTTGCTAAGTCTAGTGCCAGAGGCTGTGTTAATCTATTCCAGCAAAGATATCGCACCAGAAGGTTTAGCGGAATCTATTACTTGATTAAGTTTACAGCAGAGCTTTGTTACCTGCCTTAATCCATCTGATTTCTTCAGGGGCCTTATGAATAAATTAAGCAAAGATAGGGTGGCAACCTCCTGCCTGCATCCTTTAGGTCTTTGATGGGGACACCAATATCTGCCCTTCCTCCTGACTTGAACTCTTGTCTCTGAATTACTTCCTGGTGGGAGTGGGAGTAGTTTCGGAAGCTTCTCTTTGGCCCTTCTTACCAAAACGGCTCTTATATCCCTGCACACGGAAGGAACATGAGGGCCTTGCCAGCTTGAAATAAACTCTTCCCCATTTATGCCCTGCGTGGCTAAGGAGCTAACAATGAGCCCCTGTGAGATGAACCGAGTTAGGGTTCCGTTGATCCTCCAACCATCAGCGGATCCAGTTCTGAATGGCAGGCCGTGACGGTACTTTGGATCCCTGGGGTCCGATCCCTGATCCTGGAGGATCCCACGTGCTGCGGAGCAGCTGAGCCTGTGAGTCACAACTACTGAGCCTGTGCTCTGGGGCCCGGGAGCCGCAGCTGCTGAAACCCACGCACCCTAGAGCCCACGCTCTGCAACAAGAGAAGCCCCCACAAAGAGAAGCCGGTGCACCACCACACCTAGAGGGTAGCATCTGCTCACTGCAACTCGAGGAAAGTCTGCACAGCAACAAAGACCCAGGGCAGCCACAGATATCTTAAAGAAATAAAGTCAGGTCTAAAAATGCGCTATGTAGAAGAAGCACACTTACAAGAAAGCAACAGAGACAATAAAAGGAATGAGTGAATTCAACAAATGCAAACCAAAGGAAACTGGAGAGGCCCATATTAATATTTATTGATATAAAACGACATGGAATTTAGGATGAAAACACTAAATAGAATGAAGAGAGGTCCTCTGCAATAATAAAAGACACAACATATGATAAAGAAAAGTCATCAACTTACATGTGCCAAACTGCATAACAGTACTGTCATAAATGCGAAGCAAAATAAAAGAACCTACTAAAAAATAAAAATTTAGTGCAAGATTTAGTTACTCGTCTTTGGGTTTGAGTCGTGCAAGGGTCAGGAGCGCGCATCAGCGGTGTCACATGCTGCAGATAACATAGGGTTAACTGGAAAAAAACTTACAAACTGGAGAGTAGCAAGAGGTAGCTGCACTGAATTCC